GTCTGTGTTAGAACCTTGTTCTTAAGGCCAAATAATAAATATGTATATATGTACAGAGAGAGGGGGAGGCAAGGAGAGACAGAATGAGGAAGAGAGACAGAGACAGAGACAATCACTGTAAACCCAGCTGGCCTGGAAATTTCTGGACTTAAAGGCATGTCTCTTTGCTCTGTGTGTGTGTGTGTGATGGAATACAAAAGTGGGTATTGGAGATTGAATCCAGGGCCTCGTGCATGCTATGTAGTGCACCATTATCATAACGATACATCCCGAGTCCCAGGATGCTCTTCTAGAGATGTTTTTACTATTTTCATTTATGCATGTGCTTTTGCCTGCATGTGTGGAAAGTGCACCATGTGCAATGCTCACAGCCAAGAGAGGATGTTTGATCCTCTGTAACAGTTGGCTGTGAGTCATCACATTGGTACTGGGAACCAAACCCGGGTCCTCTGCAAGAGGCTGCTTAGGCCATCTCTCCAGCTCCCCTACAAAGTTTTGTTTTAATAGAAAAGATCAGAGCAGATTTTCACAGTAAAGCCAATTATTACTTCACAGAATTCTTACTGTCTCCGAGGAGTGTGGATTTCCTTACTGAACATCACAATCATAAAAGTTCAGAACATACTGATTTGATGGCAAGTGATTCCAAAATCCTCATTGCTAGCCTGGCTCTTCCCCTGTGTCATTTCAGAGTTCCTTTCCAAATAGTTGCTGTTGTCCATGTCCAAGCAAGTACAGACTCGAACTCATGATTCCCCATTCCTCCACACGCTCCTTTTCACACACAGTCCAACTCTGTTCTCCACACTCTGCCTGCCTCACCTGACTGGACAATGCAGCTCTAACCCGGCTCTATGTGCACTGTTCAGTCATCATTGCTCCTTCTGAACCTCCCTCCCACCTCCACTGCGCCCAAGGAGCACTCTTTCTTTAAGACCGTTTCAAATGCCCTCTGCGAGCCAAATAAGCCATTTCCTGAAGCAGCTCCCTCCTGGCTGTTAGGGTACCTTGTCCATGCCTCCATGCAAGCCCTTCTGTCTTCCTCGAAGTCATGAGTTAGTTCCCTTTCTCTACACCTGGGGTCTTGTACATACTATCCTCATCACTCCCAGTGGTACTCAGTGTACAGCAAGTACTCAGTATACAACAAGTACTCAGGGTATAGTATGTTCTCAGTGTGCCAAAATTACTCAGTGTACAGCAAGTACACAGTGTTAGTATTCAGGCATCTGTACTGGCCAGCCCTTGAGGTCCTGGCGGGATATGTCCTCAGCTGCTGCCATTAAGAGCACCACCTGTGCACATTCACCATTCCCTTTTAAAAGCACCCTGCCCATTTGAAGCAAGCTTGTTTCTAATTTAAATAAAAAATAAATAATAAAAAAAGAATTTTGCAAAAAAAGTGCCCTGCCCACCTCCCATATCTCTCTCTGTCTCTCTCTCTCCCTTCCTCCCTCCCCTCCCTCTCTCTCTCTCTCTCTCTCTCTCTCTCTCTCTCTCTCTCTCTCTCTCTGCCTCTCTGCCTCTCTTTCCTCACTCTTGCTGCTCCTGTCTCCAGAGGCTGGTCTGCTTCCTTCCCTTTCCCTTTTCATGATCCTTTTCCCTTAATAAAAACCCCTCCACTTGAACTCTGTTGCATGGTGTCTTTTTCTCCAGCCACTTCTTAAAAATCACAACACTCTGTGTGTAGTATGTTCTCAGTTAATAGTAAGTACTTAGTGTAGGAAACACTCATTGAATGGTATGTTCTCAGTGTATAGTAAGCACTTAGGAAACACTCAGTGTATAGTAAGTTTGAGCAGGCACGGGAACAAACACATCACAGCTTTGCTCTTCCTTGTCATTTCCTCCCAAGCCATGGAGTGTGCCTTCTGCTCCACAGAGCTAGCTCTCACTGCCCCCTTTGTCCCCTACCAAGATACATCCCTAGAATTTTGGTGGCTCACGATGGACCTTGTCAAAAGTTTCCATGGCACATCCCAGGGAAAGTCTGAGAGTTCGAAATAAGTAAATAGATACATAAGTAGGACACATCAATCCACATCACCCACTTCCTTCTGTAGCAGCATCACATCCTTAGACAAGCTTGCCACCCTTGTGCCTCTAAGGTGGCCTTCAGAATCCCCTGAGATGCAGCCATACTTTTGAGTGGCTGTGATTATCCCCCAGTGTCTCTCCTTCTCCAAGCCTTCCTGTACAACACCATTATAGTCTTCCTTTCCAGGCACTTTTTTCAAGTTTCTTCCCTACTCAAGGAACACATGTGGCTCCCCATGACCTATGAACCAAGCTCAACCTTTCTGAAGCCACTAACCACTGCCTCTGACACAGTCCATCTTTTCACTGTGTCCCTTCCAATGACTACACCTACACCCATGCATGCATGCATTCACACACACACACACACACACCTCTTCAATCTTGTGTTCATTATTCATGTTTATTAACGACTTCTTATTTCCAAACACATATGTGACACATGTAGCCTAAATGGAACAGTTATCCCTACCCGACAGCTTCTGACTCAGGGCCATTATCAACATCAGCACCACCTACATTTGGGACTGAAACGTCTTGGTTGTGGCAGGCAATTTGGGCCTTGAGGGGTTTTCAAACATCTCCCCTGGCTTCATCCTCAATGACAGTAGTATTTCCTCTCCCCATGTGACAACCAAAAACATGGCTACTCAAATGTCTAGGGCAAAATTGAGCTGACAGATACATACTGGCCTGTAGCATCAAGTGGAGCTTGCTATTTGTCTCTCAAGGGGCTTCCTAGAGAGGCGGGTTTCCAGATGACCACCCAGTAGGGAGTTCAGTCCAAGAGCCTAGGAATCTCCATTCAGGGCCTTCTCAGGGAACTCCAGTGCAGGTCTTTGCTGTTGCCTGACAGACACAAACAACACTCCCCTGGAGCCAACACATAGCAACTATGATATGTGATGAAATAGGTCACATAAGCAAACGAGTCAGTCACAAGACACAGGACCAGAAATGGAGTCAAGTATGGCGGTGCAGGTGAGATCAGGTGAGGGAGAGACAGGAGGGAATGGTGCCTGCATCCTGTGCTGGGATGCTGCTTCCTTCCATTACAGATGGGCATGTCCCCTCCCTATCCAGAGCTCACCTGCTTTCAAGGCCCATGAGAGCTCCACCTCCCCCAAGGAGCCCCCCGCAGCCCATCAGATGTTCTTCTCGGCCATTTGCTTCTTACCTCACCTGTGGCCATTTGTTTCCCCAGATAGACTTAATCCCACTGCACACTGGGCCACATCATCACCTTCTTTATAGCATCCCTTCACGGTTCCCTTCCAAGATGGAACATATGCCAGTCTTGACTAAAGTTTGGTTGCATTAAGCAGAGTTCCTGAAGTGAGGCCTGCAAGGTCTCAGTGTCTCTCACAGATCAGTGTCTGTAAGAGATGGAGAATGGGAAGAAACCGATACAACTGCTGAGCTCTGGGCAACCAGTTCATCCATCCAAACTCAGGCAAGTTTGCCAGAACAATCGGTCAATAGCGTGGTTGACACCTACTCTGACCCTGGTGTCTCTCTCCGGTGTCACCGGAAGCCCTATGAGGCCCTGGAATTCTAGATAGTTACCAGCCGGTAGCAGAAACCAACAGCAGCTGCCCCCACTGAGAAGTGGGTGCCAAGGTCCAGCAAGGTTGCCCAACAGACAGTTCAGGAACCATCTCAGTGGGCCCGATCAAGTCCAGCAGGTGAGGAGACTAGAAAGTGTTTTTAAGGACATTGGTGCCACACAGAGCCACGGAGCCGGTGCCAGCTAGGGAAGAAAGTTGTCTGAGGAAGTCTGGAGCAGTGGGTGGCTGGAAAGGAATGTATGAGGCAAGGGGCCACATATCCCCCGGTTCTGGAGAGTTACAAGGAAGGACAGCCAGGCTGCTTGGCTCTCCTGCGGGGAGCAGATCACCAGCCGCAAACCTTGCCCGCCCCTCTCTTTGGGCAGCCCAGACTAGGAGCATATGTGACCAATGCAAACTCAGAACTGGGAAGAGAACAGCTTTGAGTTATCAGTGCACTTTTGAGGTGGGATGTGTGTGTGGCTAGACATTTTCATTCCCAACCATTTGAGTGGATGGCAGTGAGGTTACATAGGCACTGGTGGTGAAGGAGGAGCCTCCAACAGAGAGGAGAGGGGTGATCTCCTTTGGAGACTCTAGCCTGGGAACATCCAGAGGAGAGCTCCCACCTCCTATCCAGCAGGTACATGGCGGCAGCTCCAGCTCCACAAGGCAGCAGAGCTATAGGGACCTGGCATGTCCCTGTATTCGCCACACACAGGCACTGAGGCTGTGCCTGAATTTTGAGCGATGCCTGCTGCCTTTTCTCTTAAGGGGTTTGGCTGCGGATGAGGAAGGGGTGAGAGAGCCCAACCTCTGCAGTTTCTCTGACCTTTGGTGCTAAGGACGCAGAAGAATCATCTACTTTGGAGGCCATCAGCTTGTCTTACAGATCTAGAATTCACTGTCCCTTTGCGTGGCCACAGACCAACCACTACCACCCCACCTAATCTGGGGTTCCTGGGGAGAAAGGAGCCATTGCTTCCAAGGTCCCCTACAAAAATGTATGACATGCCAAACTAAGAAGGAAAAAAAAAAGAAACCTTCGACCTTCCGGTCACAGCAATGTAGGTTTGGGGAACAGTACAGTTCTGAGCATGCACATGCTTTTATGGTCAGTTTAGCTGCTTGGCATTCCAAGGAGCTGCCCACGTTCACAAGACAATAAAGTTCACACCACATACCACACACACACACACACACACACACACACACACACACACACACGTCCTCATAACCCCACCACGACAGGCACACAGTTAGCGCTGTCCTCTGGCTGGCCCGGAGATGCCATAGGGCACACTACGGAGGTGCTCCGGCTAAGGGCAGACCTCCTGGCACTTGCTCAGGGAACACTCCCGCTGGCCTATCGGCCACCTCTAGATTGGGTGTATTCCATCCCTCAGACTTTCTTACCTCTTGATGTAGCTCCTGCTGTACAGGATCTGCTGCAGCAAGGTCACCAAGGCGAAGGCGCAGATGAAAATAAAGAGCAAAGTTCGGTTCCCCAACAAATCCCGGTTGGCCGAGGGGTCTGCGTAGCGCATCCTGGCGGCCCGGCGCCGCGGATGCACTGTGCGGGACGGCGTGGCAATCACGCGCGCTGTGCGGGGCCCCGGGGGGCGTTAGGTGAACTGTCACGGTGTGGCCAGGAGGGCAGACGACTTCACCAGGCAAAGTTTCCCGCGGGCGCAGCCGGGGCCGCAGTGGCGAAAGGACAGGGCCAGCTGCAAGGAGATCCGCCGAGCCCCAGGCCTGCCCTCGCGTGCTGCTGTCTCTGGGCGCCAGTGTCCCGCAGTCGCCAATCTGCCCGCGGAGGGGCGATGGCAGGTGCGCGAGCCCAGCCGCCCTCCCGCCGAGGTGACGACCAATGAGGAGCAGGGCCGGCCAGGCTGGGCTGAAACTCCGTGCGGCGCACCGCCCCCTCTGGGCAGACTCGGGATTGGGGGCGACTGGAGCTTGCGGACGGCCGGGGGACAGCGCGTCTGACCCCAGCGCCCGCAGCCAGGGAGTGCGAAGGTTTTGCCCTTTGGTACCGCGGAGGCGAGGTCGGGCGACCCAAGCTAAGGATGCCGGGCTTTTGTCGGGGGGAAGGGAAGCGGCGGAAAGAGCCGCGTTGGAATCGCGGGTTTTGGAGGAGCGCGGGGACAAACGCAGACCGCAGAGCTAGCCTCGTAGGAGACGGGCATTTGCATGCGGTACGCAGCGCACTGAGTCACCTAGGCAGCCCGAGTCCTCGCGCGCGCGCTGCTGGAGAATCCCCGGTGAAAGCGGTGCAAGGTCAGCCGGGTAGCCCTTCAAGGACGGCGCGCGCGGCCCCTGCATGCTAATGGCCTGGGGCTAGACTCCCGGCCCCTGCTGAACAGAAAGTCCGAGTCTACCCGGCCCCCTGCCATGGGCCTCTACCCTCTCACCATCTGCAGCTCGCCCGGCCTTTCGTCAATAACCCTGTTGTCATCCAGACACTGGGACTTTGTCTCATCCTTGGAACTATTCATAGACTGTAGGTCAGCAGCCGGTCGCCTTCGGGTACTACGGTTCCCCAAAGCTTTAAGTCACTAGGTCCAGCAGCGAGTACTCAGCGCTTCAGTGTAAGCCGGGGAAAATGAGCCCAGAAATGCACGGCGGTGGTATCACAGAAATCCTTACCCCCGAAGAATGCCACCCCTACCGGGTTCCAGGCTGGCGACAGCCCTTCCATCCCCACACCGCATAGGCTTGGGAGTCAGTCACGTGCTTCGAGCATCCACTACTCAACTCACTCTGTGTGCTAGGGCGCCCTTCCCAGGACCTTCCAGACACTCCCGAGGTTCCAGAGTCAGGCCTGCTTTGCACTCGAAAATTGACCAAAACTCAAATCGCCACCAAAAAAAAAAAAAAAAAAAAGGAAAAATGCCCAGACTCCAACCCCTTCAGCCTTTGCATTTAGCAATTTCCTTTTTGACCAGAAAGATCAAGGGATGCATGCTAAGCTTCTATTATTAGAGAGCCAGCAATAATTGCAACTTGTGTTTGTTCACAGGGCTGAAATACTGTTATCTTTGAAGACTGTGTGTAGTTTTCTGTCCCCTCTGCCATCTGTGGGTAGGCTTTTTAGCCAATCTAGAAATTGGGAGGGCTCACCATTGTCTGATTACCGTTGAATCCTTGCTGTCACATATGCTAATGAATTTTTACCTCCTATGTTCTATCATGGTCCAAGGTTGAATGGGCCAATGTGCACTTCAGATTTCCTGTATATGCTGGGAATGGGGGGCCTGTACCCCACAAACAGTATTGGCTTAGTGCTTCTTTCTCTCCCACTTTCTTCTCTTCCATTCTTGCTTTTCCTTTTCACTGCAGGATTGTGTTTTGTAGCCCAGGCTGGCCTCCAACCTGTGATCATTTTCGATGCTGGGGTTAAGGCATGCACCACCATACCACGCTCAGCTGTCTTCAAACTGAGCAGAGGTTCCAGCATACCACTTTCTACTGGGCTACATACTATGTAGCAGGTCCCACACCCAAGTTCCAAGCAGAGCAGGGATTTTCACCTAGTTAGTAGTGACTGTCAACCCTGTGGCTTCCTCATGTGAAGTTAGAGAGGAGGATAGACCCAGAGAGTCTCTCGATACCAATACAAGCTTCAGGACAATTCAGCTGCCGAGGGGGTCTTTAGTCTAGGAGCCAGAATCCACTGTCTGCTTCTAAACTGGGGTAGTTAGAGAGCGGAATGGGGAAGGAGGATTAAAAAGTTAACATTTTTTGGCACATGGCTGGCCCTCTGTATGCATAACCAGGGAGTGGGACATCAAACAATGTCAGGTGACAGATTAGCACTTCTTTGGGCACATTGCTGGGATCAATAGGACAGGATGGACAGGCATTCAGAGAATCAGGTTACTTTAGTTCTGAGAAACTGATTTAGTTTTCAGATCTGCTGTTGTTTAGCCATATGGAGGAGCTATACAAAATGGGGTGACTAGCCCCTCCCTCTGGCCTTGGTACCTTGTTTCCTTTCTCATCCTCCCTCCCCGTTCTGAGAATTGCCTTTGGATGCAAGCTTCCCTGGAGAAACAAAACAAATCCATTTTACAGTAATGAGTACAAATTATCCCAAGTATAATACATTTACCAAAACAGCCATGGACCATCAATGTATAGCTCACTGCATTTTCAAAAGCTGAGCACAGCGATGTGACCAGAATATGAACCAGAGCAGTCTCCCCACCCACCTAGGATCTCCTCATGCTCCATTATGGCTACTGCTCACTCAAGGGTTCTGAGGATCAAACTCTAGGCATTAGGTGCGCACAGCCAGGGCTCTAAGCCACCTCACAGTGCTGCTCTGACTTCTAACACCAAATTAATGTATTTCCGGTTCACACATTTCCTGTAAATGGGATATATTTTGTGTCTGGCTTCTCTGGCTCACTGTCATCTGTGAACTTCATCCATGTCATTGTATATGTATGGGTGTACACATGTGTGTGTACACCCTCTTGTGCACACACCTTTAACTGAAATTCAGCTGAATGTTAACACAGGTGCTGCTGGACAGAGGGATTTAGTATGTCATCGGGCTGAAGTCATACCTCTTGGCAAAGTACTCAGATGCCCTCTCGGAGCAGAGACTGACTTCTGGCCAATAGCCAACAATCACATGCCAGAAAGAAAGAAAGAAAAAGAGAGAGAAAGAAAGAAAGAAAGAAAGAAAGAAAGAAAGGAAGGAAGGAAGGAAGGAAGGAAGGAAGGAAGAAAGAAAGAAAGAAAGAAAGAAAGAAAGAAAGAAAGAAAGAAAGAAAGAAAGAAAGACTGAATTCTTCCAACAGCCTGAAGAGGCTTGGGAGAGGATCCTGGACTCCAGCAGCCCCGCAGCCCTGCCCTTGACTTTGGTCTTTGAGACGATCAGAAAGAGACCCTGTAGATACACAACTTGCAGCTGGTCTGTGTGCTCCTCACAATAGTACCTGTGTGCTCCTTTCCCAAAGAACAAAACCCATATCTAGTGTGCAGTCTTTCCGCTGTATAGCACTGTGGCACACCTGTGCATCTTTCTTTTTGCTTTGTGTGTTTAGGGCCTCGGATTGAACCCTGTGACTTGTGGGAGCTAGGCAAGCATTATGCCACCATACTACCACATGGCCAGCACTAACATTTCTACTGTTGATGGACATCTGGCAGCTGCTGCCATGAAGCTTCCAACGCCTGCTCTTTGATGGAATGATGCACGCATATCTTTTGGGCATCTGTATTTGGAAGAGAAATTTTCAGTCAGACAGTGTATGTATGTTCATCTTTCATGACTACTGCCAAATGGTTTTCCAAAAGGACACACTGTTTTTAAATAGATATTTATTTTGTATTTCTGTCACCAAATGAGGTGACATGAGAATTAACCTTCTCACCTAACAGAAAAAAAAGTGCCACAATTACTGAGGGACGATAGCAGCCCCAGGGAATAGCTTGATGCAGGTGCTGGGTACAGCTGGGATTTTGTTACAACACCTACGGGGTAGATCTTTACCACTCAATACTCTGCAAATGGCCAGCAGTAATCTAGTCCATCTCTGCTGACACTGCTCATCCAGCCCAATGGCATTTGAAATCTGGTTTCTTCAGATCAAATCAAAGAGTTATATTTAACCCACCCACAAATGTCGTGCAAGTCTAGTGGAATCAGAGAACGAAGGTCATGAAATGGCCAAGTTTGAAATCTTTGATGCTACTAGCCATGTGGAGCCAGGCTCTACCTTAGGCCAAATTTATACACTATAGAATTGCAGCAAACACTCAGAAGGACTTACGAACAAAAGAGTAAACACGTGGCCAAGTGATTGCAATGCCAGATTCAGTGGACACCGTTTTTGTATTGTAGTGGCCAGGAATGGGGACAGCTGCATCATTGTTTAAAACACACATGAACGCACAATTAAGCCAAGAACAAATGTCAACACTGGCACAGACTGCTAAATTACTGATAACTGATGGGCATTACTCATGCTGCAAGCATTGTCTCCAATATAAAATAGAACAGTTTAAAAAGAGGAAGGAGCTTAGCAGTTTCTGTGGGCTTTTAACTCACGCAGCCCAACTGCAGCCTGCGATTATGTAAGTGACATTCCACGCACGTGTTCAAGGAATGTGTGATAAGGGTGTGCCGTGCGCATGCCTCTTTACATTTGAGCTAACAAGCCAGGCCTTTGAGGAGCTGCTCTTGGCTTTGGGACAATGTTTGTGATGGACGCATCTGTTACCATGTGAGCAAATTGTTCTGGTTACAGACAGCCTCATCATCTATGGAGCTGGGCTAACCACTGCAGAGTTCACTGCAGGTGCTGGCTTTTGCGTCCTCCATCTTGAGTTTTAACCACTTAGTGTTGTGTGCTGAAGCTATAATTTGTACTGGAGCTATAATTTCCTCCCCTGGTTCCTTTCCATTATGAAGCATGGGTTGTGTTCCAGGTTATGTATAAGTCGCCTGTAATCCTGAGCCTTTCTGCCATGGCATTGGCAACCCCAGAAGCTCCGCCTTCTCACCCCCAGCACTCAACCACTGCATCAGAGAGCAGAAAGGTTCTGGCCCACCTCAAGTTATGTTCCCACAGGCATAACTCGCTGTGGGATAAGGTCATTTGGGTCCCACTTAGATGACATGGCAGCTTAATTGAATGACAAACCTCTTTCACTCATCCTAAAGACTGGATCCTGGGAAAGAAACATGGACTTCAGTTCAACTCTTTTGGGAATGACCACTGGTGAACAGGGCTGAGAGAATAGTTTGGATGCTTATCAAGTTTAGTGCTCCTTCAGTACCTACAAAGGGACAGGTGTCCCACTAGGATCATCCACTTCTAAAGCATGAATGCACCGCCCCCAATCCTCATACCTGTCTACAGCAAGGTATGTGTCAC